GCTAACCTATTTTCGGAAATAGAATTACATTCCACGGGTTTCGGATCTTCGAGTCTACGTTTATTTGTAAGTATGTCTTTGAGAAACTTAGCATAAGAAGGTATTTGGGTGATGGCTTCTGTAAAGGGGATTTCTACGTGAAGTTTTTCTATAACCTTAACGAATTTTTGATATTGATTATCGATTTGGGTTTTCTTTAATCTTTGAGGGTAAGGTATTGGTGGTTTGTATGGCGGTGGCGGTACATAGGTTTTATTTTTAGGTTCTTCTCCTTTTTCTTGACTTTCCGGGGTTTCAGGCTTCTCTGGTTCCTTTTCCTCATTCCTCTCAGAAGTTTCGGGCTCACTTAATCTAGGGTTTAAAGGTTCCTTATAAGCGGTTCCACTTCGTAGAGTAATGGCATTAGCTTGCCCTTTCGGGTTTTGTTGAGGTTGTCCAGGGAACTGTCCTCCAGGTGTAGTCTGTGGGGCTTGGTTTAACGCTACCTGAGAGATCTAGGTTTCAAGCATCTTATTATGAGTAATAATTTGATCAACCTTGGTTCCTAACTTGGTAATTAGTTCGTTAACATGGACGTTATGGTTCATGAACTCTTTGTTTTGTTGTTTTTGAGCAACGATAAAATCTTTTACAACTTCCTCAAAGCTCGGGCTAGGTGGTACAGGTTGCATAGGTTGATTTGTTCTAGGGGCTTGGTAACCTTGTTGTCTCGGAGGTGCGGTATTTTGGATAGGGTTATTATTTTTGTAGGAGAAGTTTGGGTGATTCCTCCATCCAGGGTTATATGTGTTTGAAAATGGGTTCCCTTGGGTATAGTTCACTTGCTCAGTGTTGGTTTCATTCAACAGATTGCATTCGGCGGATTGGTGTCCTTGCGTTCCACATATCTCACAATTCGGCGAAACTGCGGCAACAGTATTCGGAGTTGTATACATATGTTCGACTCTAAGGGCCAACGCGTCCATTTTAGCCTGCATCATGTCTATAGAGCTTAGCTCATGTATTCCTCCTTGGGCTTCCTTCTTTTCCACTGTCGCTCGTTCTACTCCCCATGATTGATGGTTTTGGGCCATATCCTCGATAAGGGCACTAGCTTCAGGGTAAGGTTTGTTCATCAGTGCGCCACCAGCGGCAGCGTCGATGGTCATTTTAGTGTTATAAAGAAGTCCATTATAGAAGGTTTGGATGATTAGCCAATTCTCTAGGCCATGGTGTGGGCATGCTCTTAATAGTTCTTTATATCTCTCCCAGGCTTCGAACAACGACTCTCCTTGGTGTTGGGTAAATCTAGTTATTAGGTTTCGAAGAAGAGCGGTCTTACTTGGGGGAAAATATCTAGCAAGGAAAACTTTTCTAAGGTCATCCCAAGTTGTTATTGAATTGGGTGGAAGGGAATCTAACCATGATAGAGCTTTATCTCTGAGGGAAAAGGGAAATAATCTTAAGCGTATTGCCTCAGGAGAAGCTCCATTGGTTTTAAAGGTGTCTGCTAATTGAAGAAAGTTTTTTTAAATGTTGGTTCGGGTTTTCAGTAGCGAGACCTGCGAATTGTCTCTGTTGCACTAATTGCAGCAGGGATGGCTTAAGTTCAAAATTATTGGCTGGGATAGCGGGGTTTACTATACTGGAACTAGGTTCCTCGTTTGATGGTTGGGCGAAGTCCTTAAGAGGTCTTCGATTTTGATCTTCGGCCATAGCTCTCCTATTCCTATGGAAAAATAAACGTGCGCGAGCGTAACGTTCAGGTTCAGCTAGAGGGTCTACTAAACTTCCGGCACTGCGAGTCTTTCGCATTGACCGGTGGGTAACAACCTTAGTCTAAACGGTATAACTACAGGGTAATGAAATTTGACGATATTGGTCCCCGGCAACGGCGCCAAAAACTTGATGCGTGTTTTTCGCAAGTGTACGAATCACGTCAAAGTAATATAAAAGATTATCGAATCCACAGAGACCAAGTGTCAATCTATCGTACCTGTTGTTATGGTGTTTATCTAAGGCAACTATTTTTAAGGGTTTTAGTAAGGGTGCAATGGTAAATAAAATTATAATTTTAAATAATAAATAAAAGACAGGCTCGAATGTAATTCACGTAATCAATGATAATCCAGTACTTGTTAATGGAACTACTTATGGGCAATGTTTTCTCCTTTGAAAAGAACTAATTTAACAGGAACTGTCGCTTTCGCGTATTCAGAACCGAGTTGTACTCTCTAATCAACCCCTCCTATTGTCACGGATAAAAAGGTGCGTACTGCGTTAGAGTAGTAAACCTATTTTTAAGAAATATAGTTTCTTAACAAAGTTGAAAAGTATTTTACCCTGGACTTCTTAGCAAAAAGAGGTTCTTATGAACCAGACTCTAAATCTCATAACGCGTCCGAAAATCGTTTTAAAATCTCTTTTCTTTTTAATCTAAAAACTCCTAATGAACTATACAAAGCGCTTTTGGCTGTTTTTGAAATAGTTAAAAACAATTACTTGAATTGAAAGATAAAATAGCCCTTAGGTGTTTCCACGAACAATTATACTGATTACTGGTTTAATTACGATCCTTACATTCTAACCTTTATGGGATTAGTTAGACATGATAAAGTAAATATTCTTTTTATAGTTTTTCATATGAGTAATTTAAAGCGAGTGCGGGAAGTAAACAAAGTAAATGTGCGAGTGCGGGAAATAAACAAAGTAAATGTGCGAGTGCGGGAAATAAACAAAGTAAATGTGCGAGTGCGGGAAATAAACAAAGTAAAGTGCGAGAAAATAAATAAAAGTAAAGCAATGCGGAAAAATAAAATACTAACTGGAATTAAAATGGCGGCAGGATTAACTTCCTCCAGAGTGCTCCAAAACTCGAACCACAGACAGATTACAGACTCGATCACTCGATTGCAGAGGCACCCCGATGTGGAATGGCAACTGCTTTATAACTGATATATGCCTAGAGAATTCTAATTCTGGATGAAGAAAAACGAAAATCTAAGGTCCTATTTATAGGAGAAACTGAAAGCGTGAAATGACCGGGACGCCCCTCCACTAAAAAGTGGAGGTTATGAAGTTTTGCCTTGTGGCGCCCGCCACAAGGTCATGGCGCCCGCCATGGTCCCTACAGGGGATGATGGAGTGGGGATCGTGGGTCTTGGAGGTTGAGGAGTGGTCTTGAGACGTGGCCACGTCATGGCTAACCCCATGGCGCCCGCCACGGTGGGTGCCGCAAGTGCAAAGTGCTGAATTTCTAGGTTTTCGTCCGTTTTCACTCCTTTTTCGCTCCTTTTCCCGATTCAAGCTCCGATTATTATAAAAACCTGAAAACATAAGAAAACAAAGCAATAACAAAGCAAAACAACAATAAAAGCTAAGAATGCATGCGAAATCGGAGTCAGAAATACGGTGAATTTTAGTGTGATCAGTTTCGCCTCAGCAATAACATCTTCAATCCCAACTTCCCGGGCAATAGAATTAGCAGTTCCCCAGTTGTCTCCGGTCACCATGATGCTCTTAATGTTCATAGACTTGAGAATGGAAATAACTTCTTGAGCACCTGATTTCAATGGATCAGATACTGCTAAAACCCCAGCTACTTCCCCATTTATAGATACTACAATTCCTGTTTGAGCCAAATTTTCAGCTTCAGCAAGTAGATCTTCAGCAATGGCGGGAATTGCAATATTGTGGTCAGTAAACAAGCTCTTATTACCCACCATTATTTCCTTGTTACGAACAGTGGCCTTTACTCCATGTCCAGTAATGGAAACAAAATCATGTGCTTCTGGCCAAGAAGGGTTCTCCTCATCTTTAAATTTTTTGGCATACTCAACAACAGCCTTAGTTAGAGGATGCTCACTGTTAACCTGAGATAGAAAAATTACAGAACTAACGATCAATTGGAATCATTTATGACATGCATATGCACCTATAATTCATGAATTGTAAAATAACTTGAGCAATTAACCCATTAAATTGTAGGAATCATAAGAACTAAAACATTTTCTTAACTGCAAGTCAACTTCCGGAGTACCATTTTTATCAATAGTTTTGTATTTACTATCACTGGTTTCTAAATAGTGAGAGTACCCGTCTTGTCAAAAATAATGCAGTTTACCTACAACAACACAATCATAGGCATATTCAAATGTAAATCCAAATCCACTGTTGGAACACTTTCTTCATTTTAATATTATACAAAGTTGTAAAAGATAGAATGAACATATCAATATCCAATGACACCATCCTTTCATGGAGCATAGCAAACTTGTATAAACTATAAACATATTTGACAGATGCACTAATTAGCAACATTGGCAATCATTGTTCAATTATAAGCCAACCAACATTGACAAATTGGTCACACACAATGACACAAAAAACATTGACAAAGAAATTCAATAATTTAAGGAGATAATCTATTTCTAAAGACAAATGCTGACCTTATGTGCACTTTCCAGAGCTTGTCCCCTTTGATCAAAACACCCTGAGATGCGCCAACTCCAGTACCAACCATAACAGCAGTAGGTGTAGCTAAACCCAAAGCACAAGGGCAGGCAATAACCATCACATATATTTCAAACTGCAGAGCTAGCTCAAAGCTGTCCATGGAAGACGGTATCCAAGATTTCGGGTAAGCATGATATTTTCCAGCTAAAAACCAGGCAAGCCAGGTTGAAAATGAGATCAAAATCACCTACAAAGAGGTAGAAGACATATATTAAATTTTAATATAACATACCATAGAGCAAGCTGATATGCCTCCACAGCATTGTCTTGCATGAAATGGAACAACAAGAACTCCAAAAGAACTGCACGTCTACTCTGCTTTCCAAGTAAAAATACACAATAAATTTGAATGCTTAACAATCAACCTAGCAGAATCAACTCGTAACAATTCTTCAATTGCAAGTATAATTATTTATCAGCTAGAACTGAAGTAATTGCCAAAACAAAACGAGAATATGTGTTTCCAATTAAATTACATTATTGTTTAGAACACAATAGAGTGCTGCTTATTCTAGCAAGCGTTTATACTTGCACCAAGCAATGGCAACCACATACAAGAATATGGTTCCAGCAGTGCCACCACCAACAGTCCACATAAACTCTCTTGTCCCGTACTTGTCACTATTAAACAGTTCAATATGAATATTCATGCCAAAAACACCAGCCACAACAACAAAGGCACCCACTACCAGAGTTGCCATGGTCAACATGACTCCCATTTGGAGGAGATGGTTATGTTTGTCATCTAGCATAATATTGATGTAATCCTCTGTGTCATCGACATACTCCGTCAGCTTCAACACAACAACCGACAAATAACAAGGTGTCAGCAACAGACAAGTCAATTCTATATCTAAAGTAAACTATATTCTTTCAAACAAACATATATGATAACCATATCAGATAGAAAATCAGTAGCATTCTTCGCAAAATATAAAAATGGAAAGTGTAAGCCCTCTCCTCCTCCTCCTCAAAGGAGATTTGATCCAGACAATGGTCTATGGGTAGGAATCCATGGTAAAAAAAACCCCTCTCTATCTATGAGAAAGGACTTAAAATTCTCAAGAAGGAAGGATTGATACCACCTGATGATCCTACTCTTGTTAGATCACTAACAGACCATTGTAAACTAATACATCCTTCAGCTTATGTAAAGCCCATTCCTTTCTTTATGTACTCAGCCACAACTTCGGAGTACAACCAGCAATTTCCTGCTTTGGAAAGAAAGATGGATCCCATCACCAGCAGAACTTCTAAACGCTTCATTAATCCTAATGAATTTCAGCCAGATGGAAAACTCAAACTTGTAACCCAAGATGAAGAAGTGTGAACTGGAAATCAGAAAATGTAGTGGCTTAAAACGATATTCTCTAAAATCTTGACAGAAGAGTATACAAGATTACCGAGAAAGCATAGGAAATAGATGAATCTCTCAAGGTTCCCTCTCAAAAAAGGAAATAACATTACAGAAGTCTAAAAGTTCGGGTTGGTTAAGTAGATCATTACTTAAGACAAATGTTAGGCGAAAGAGTTTTTGGCCAAGCTTTTGACTAAAAAGAAAGAAAGTTCAGAAACTACAAGGACAAGTAAAAGAAATGGATGATTACGTGAGATCGTCTCGTGAACATAAGCCCAAGCCTGTCAAAAACTCTTTCTTAGGCCTTCTAGCTTTCCCTTCTTTTTTCGCAAAACTAGATAGAACTTCTCTGTTCTACCCTACTTATGTATCATCTCTTCCATAATAGAAGCATTGGATACCAGAAGCATACTGACCGAAACCTGCTAGGCCTCCTGATACCTCAACCTTCAAATTAAAAGGAAAAACACCTCGCTTGAGCGTCTCATGCTCAAATTCTCAAGATATTTCTGAAACACCTTCTACCACAACTCACGAGGAAGCATAAATTCCTAACAAATCTTTCGAAGCCATGGAAATAATTGGGAATTGTGACTTTCCCTCAGAAGATCCTTCTCCTACTAATTCTTCCACACAAAAGTATGAAAATTCCTCCACAGATAATAACGGTGATTCCTACCAGAGCATATCTATTGAGGAAACATCAAAATCCTTTTCTCTTGAGTTAGAACCTGAAAAAGACTATATCCCAAGAGTACTCATGGCAAACATAAAAGAAGAAGAATCCTTTTATGAAGAATCCCCTTAAGAAACTCTAGCCCCAGAAAGAGCTAAACCAATTGGTGGTCTGTGGTTTACACTTAATGGCATACCACCTAGTCGTTGGAAAAAAAATACTTCATGAATTTGGAGCATGGATTGACACTCAATTAATGAAGACTTCTACAGATCCATAAAAGGTCATTGAAGAATTCTATTGCAGAATGACCGGTACTATGAAGGAATGGTATCAAAATTTCAGAGCTTTCAAACAAGGTGAGTTGCATAAAAACTACAACCTATGTTCTTGGAGTACTTCACCATGTGTTTATTGGTGATGTAGACACACATGATAGCAAAATCAAAAGAGAGTTCTTTGAAATGAAATGTTGTTCTCTCAAAATAAAAGACCTAGACAAACATTATCATCAGGTGGTGCAGAGGTTTTATGTCCTCAACGGATTTAATGATCTCAGTCTCAAGAATACATATGTTGCCTCTTTAACCCAACCAACCATAAATTCATAATGATAGCTACAACACAAAAAATATATCCCCTCCATGAGCCTTGGCCAGATTTACCAAGTAACTCTAGAAGCTTTGGAAAAGCTATGCACATTACATTAACAGTTCTCAGAGGTGGTAAATCAAATGTCCAAGTTCAATAAATCTTGCAAGAAGTCTTATTTAGAGATCAAGTGCAAAGATAAGAAATGTATTTATGCCACGAAACATCATCGGAAAAAGTAAAAACCTCACAAGATCTTTAAAGGAAATCGAAAGAAAGGATTAAAGTTATTCAAAAAGAAACCTTTTAGAGGAAAAACGACGAGTCTGAGATGTTTTATCTATGGAAAGAAAGTATATTATTCCAAAGAATATCCAAACAATACCCACAAAGCGGCAAAACTGATTAACTTTGTCCAACTTACAGAAGGAGACCTAGAATCCATATACTCTAAAGAATATACAACTCATTTTTTGCTTTTCGAGACTCCTCGTCTGGTGAAGTATCACTTTCCGATTTAGTAAATAAAGAGTATGTTCTCGTTTACTCCTAAAAGGAAATAGGAGGTTATCTTCCTACACCTCTTATCCCCTGTGTTGAAATTCATGTTCTTGCCTCAAAGTTTGCTCGTCTAAAAAAGGTCATAGTGTATATGGACACTAGAGCATAAATCACAATGATGAATCTTAACATTCTACCCACTGAATCATGGGCAGCATGTAACACCCTGCTCCCCAAATTTAAAATAAATAATAATTTAAATCAAAACAATTATCAGAGTTGCCACACCAAAACGGGATATCACAAAAGAAAACTCCAACAGAACGCTTCATTAAATGAATTCAACAATTAACAGCGGAAAATGTCACACATATATATATATATATATATATATATATATATATATATATATATATATATATATATATATATATATATATATATATATATATATATATATATATATATATATATATATATATATATATATATATATATATATATATATATATATATATATATATATATATATATATATATATATATATATATATATATATATATATATATATACACACACACACACACACACACACACACACATCATATACATCATATTCGGCCATCTGCCCAAAATATACAAAACATCATCAATGGATCCAACAAAACATGATACGACACGGAGTAAAAACAAAATCATCAGCTAAATAATAAACTCCCTAAAGCCTTGTGTTACGTATCAGAGCATCCCTACGACTCGACTCGCCACTATCCAAGCTAGCTACGCACCTGGATTATCTGTACTTCCGAAGAAGCGCAGACTACAGCAACAACAAAAGGGGTGAGAAATCTCGATCAAAAATATAGCGGTAATAATGTACATGAATAAAAGGCAGCAATCATATGAATATCATTCAACATACATCAACCCGGACCTACTGTCCAACACCAACACAGCACTCAAGATAATGCAAACATATGCAACTCAACACCATGATATGCGGTACCGACTCAACAACAACGATGGACACCGGGCCATCAAACCTCCACAAGGGAGCACCAGATAGATCATATACACCCACCAATGGCAATGATCTATCCCACCATTTTCCACACAGGAGTACAGGTGAATCGCATACACTCCATCCAAGCAACGATTCATCCCACCATTCTCCACACAGGAGTACAGATGGATCACATACACTCCATCCGAGCAACGATCCATCCTACCATTCTCCACACAGGAGTACGTGTAAATCGCATACACTCCATCTGAGCAACGATTTAACCCCACCAATAATATCATGATATGCACGACACTAATGCATAACAACAATTCAAGCACACAAGGTGCACACGATCCTCCTGATCACATTTTATACATCGCACATACATATTCCACACATCACCATATTCATACATATTAACATACACCAATTGAATTATTCTAATTAAACGAATAACACAGAAATCACATTCCAACACCACACATACACTCATAACTGTTCAACACCAATCTCATCTTTAATCATGATCAACAAGGGTCCCTCAACACAAGAGAATAGAACAGAACAACACAAAAACACAAACTATTGTCATGCTACTGGCTAACTCGCCTAGCGAAGCATCAGCGAAGGCTCGCTACTCGCTCGCCCAGCGAACTCCCTAGCGAAGGTAGACAGTGGCTACTGGAAGCACTCGCTACCCAGTTCGCCTAGCGAAGCATCAGCGAATGCTCGCTATTCGCTCGCCTAGCGAAAGTACTGGCGAATGTCTGTGATTTCACAAAAACCCCACTGTTCAGAATCGACAATACTCTCTGAAATCACCCGATTTTACTCAAACCAGTTCCCACAACACTAGTTCAACATTCTGCAACTTAGCTACATAATCTATTCCAGATTCCACCCGATAAAACCTCAGCTCTACCGATTAAATCAATTTCCGGCTTAAAAATGGTAAACTACCGAAAACCCCAAATCATCCATACAACCACATGCAACAAACCTATCTTACCAGCAACAATTCAGAATTTCAAAACACATAATCAAACATGATCATCAATTCCTACCATGGGGTTAGGGAAATCCCCTCTACCTAGAATTCATGCAACATACCAATTTCGACTCGTTTCTCCCCCCTTACCTCGATAACTCGATCAAGCTGTTGAAAAATCCTCGAAGAATTGATAATCTTGGCTTCCCTTCTTCCTCTTTGATTCTTCTCTTCAAACTCTCTTTCACTTGACCTTGCTCTTCTTCTTCTCCTCTTGATCGTGTTTCTCCTCTTCCTTTATCGTGTTATTTCCTTTTTCCTTCTTCCTTCCCAAACAGCCCCTAATACCCCCAAAATCCAATTCTTTCCCAAACGAGATGAATGAAATTTCAGAAACAAAGAGGTTTTGAACTTCCACATTCAAGATGAATCATCTTGGACTAGTTAACACACTTTTGGGGATCAAAGTATAATGAAATAGTAAGGGTTATTGTAACGCCTGTTTCATTTCGATTAAATTTAATTATGATTTTTGCCGTATCTCGTTGTGTCGTAGTCGTACGAGGATGTCGGGAAAATTC